TGCCTATGATTTCAACTGATTATGAGTGTCACAACTTATGGGTTTGGGGCCCTGGGCCAAGAACTAGTTATCAGCCCACTGAACATGAGTAGTGCAAAAACAGAAACAATGACGTCACATTTTGTGTCATCAAATCAGCAAGCTGTAGATTGAAGCTTGCACATATTCCTTTGTTTTTAATTCACACACATTGGGAATTTCTATGAAAATTTCCTTCCAACAGTACTTTCAGTGCTTTGATTGTTGTACGGAAACACAGTTTCTATTTGTGTTTTCTATTCGAATCTATAATAAGTTTAATGGGATCACCACCGGGTAAACGACTACTAGGTACTTTGGTCATGTTTTTTACCCCAAATATTTGAATGTTTCTATTGGGATTAAAATGAGCATAGTTAAGTAAACAACTGGTTGTATAAATCCCTGACCTGTCTAATTCTAATCATGAGATTAGTGAATATATAAGACTTTCACTACAAAATATTCCTAAACAAAAGAGCACATGTTTTAATTTATTCCTATACAAATAAAAGATCAGAGTAGGGATCTGTCAATTGCCAGACATATTTTTAAAAGATACTTTTATGTTAAAAGTTTGATTAATGAATTATGTAAGATGAAAATATAAGTATTGCTTTTTTATTTTGCTAATGTAAAATGTAATATTGTGCTGAAATTTTGTCGGAGGGTCCTTAGGGGTTTTGTAGTTAAATAGTTTTTTTTCGGCGATAATGGTTCAAGAATATAATGTTTTCAAACTATATGTTCATCACCATAAGTGAATTTTTAGTTAAATGTATGCAAAATATTTACTAACAGCTATATGATATAGCGGTTTATGAGCGTTTTCCGCGTACAGCCTCCTGGGGTGTACTAATAAGTTAGTTTTCCTTAGTTATCACGCAAGCATGATCCATGTCTCTGATGTAAGCGACAGTTTACAATTATTTGTCTTTAAAAAATATTAAGGACTATTAATGGTTTATAACAACAAAAGAACATGCATGATATTGAGAATACGATGTTGCAACGTTCTAGTTAATGACCCGTCATAAACAGTTGGTCGCTGCGTAGTAATTGGAAAATTGTTATCAAAAATAATTAAGAATATTTGCCACTAAATTAAAGCATTTACTTATAAATTTTCATTTATGCTTTTTGTTAAAAAAATATTGATAAAGTTATTATTTTGAAGGGTTTTCATACCAGAACTATTTATTACAGACGTACGTATGCCTAAACCTAATTACCGCGACAGTATGACGTCACGGAGAAGTGATTTAAACAAAAATCAAGAATTTTTCAGAGAATTATTATCTTTACAAATTTCAGATATGAAATTAAAGAATGAAAATATTTTCATATTGTAAATGTCTGTGATGAGTGATGAGTCAGCTTAGAAAATATCAAGGTACTATTTTTTGACCTGATTACCGCGGCAGTAAGATTTGACGGACGGTATTAACATTGGGTAGGCATAGCCTCCCCAAAAACGGCTGTTTCAGCTAATCATTAAGCAGTTTGAGTAACTGGAAATTTGTCTTCTAAAAAAACAAAAGTACAAATAAATAACATAAAAAAGTTAAAGGTTGTTTAAGCTTATTTGCGATGAAATGAATGCACTCCAAACTATTTCCTTTGTAAAAATAATAGTAATTATATACAGTTTCAGAGGGCAATCTAAATTGAAAGCCAAATTTTTGTTGGAAAAAGCCACCTATTTCGAAGTTGCAGACCACTATCAAACTAAATTGGGAGTGTGTACGTTGACACTTTCTAGACTGTATGTGCACGTTGACATTTCTGTAAGTTGGTCAATTTTTAAATAAATACAAAAAATGACAGCAGGAAACCAGTTATTTTTTCATTAAAACATTCTTTTATATATTTTAAGACCTGAAATTTTACTCAGCACTGACATGCGTATCGTTTATTAAGTTATTATCAACACTTTTTATATACATACATGAATATGAGATCGAATATTTTATTACAATGCGATCAAATAGAATAGAAATAAAAATAATGAATATATACTATAAAATATATATTATAAGAAGAAAACAAAATGGAAAACGAAAAATAAATAACTAATAAGGATAAAAAACAGAGCAAGAACAAAAAACTGTGGTTTTAAAATGGCACTACGTGGGGTTCGAACCTATGAGTAAATACCATTAAAAGATACAATAACTTCGATCTACCGACAGAGCCATAACGGTAATACACAAACGATACCGTAAGAATAATGCTATATAGTATTTGTGAGTGATTACTTTTACGATATCGCATAATAATCCAGATAACCCCGTTTTTGGACTTTCCCATGTACCGTTAAGACCATATTATCATCCTAGGACAGTAGGCAGCGATGAATAGCTTAGTTCACAAAAAGAACTGAATTTACTATATGTGTTTATCGATTGACATGCGTCACATCTAGTACATGTACAAAAACACTCATTATAACGGTACTGAATAAAACAGTCCGTGTGACAATTATCATTGAAAGAAGATTGTGTAAAAGTAACTTCACGATTGGAGAAAGATGACTCTCCAAGCCTAGCGCGGGTATCTCGAAAGCGATATTTAAGCAATCGTTCGTTGCTAACCCATTAGTTATTAACGATTGAGTTATGTTATCATTTGAATACCGCGAACAGTGTGTTAAAGCAGGAAAAATGGCTGACCAAGACAAACTGCTATGGTGGCTGATTTGGAACGCTTTTGTGGGTCGTGTTGGCACTAGCGACAACAAGACAAAGTGCCAAACGGCGTGTTGTCGGACTTTTGTCTTAACGATGCACGTCAAACGGCGCGTTGTTGTGCGGCGTGTTGCCGCGATGTCACATTGTCGCTCGGTCCAAATCGAAGGATTGGCTTATAAGCCAAGCGTCAGGGGGATATCGCGACAACGCGCCGCACGACAACGCGCCATTTGGCGTGCTTTTCTAGAGTCTTTATAACTAATATTATAATACCGCACGTTTGTAACGTCGACTTTGATTGGATACTCACTACGTTTATATTATATGTTATTTTGGTTTTGGAGTGATATATGTGGATATATTACCGGTCAAGATTTTATATCACCCGTTAGGCTCGGGTGATATTTTATCTTGGTAGGTAATATATCCACATATATCACTCCAAAACCAAAATAATAATTTTATTACCCTTCCCCTGTCGAGCTTAGACGATTTTAAACTTCAAATGAAACGTCGAAATAAGATTCTCTTTAGGGTACCCCTTCACCACAACATGACGTCACATAAATACATGACGTATATTCTTTCGAACGTAACGAATGTAAACAAGAGAAAAGGAGTAGTCCGTTGAACCACAGGAACTTGAAATTCTATCAATATTTATCTGTTAATGATAATATCCAAAATATTCCCCCTATACAGTATAAATAAACTTATACTGTATAGGGGGTATATTTTGGATATTATCATTAATATTGATAGAATTTCAAGTTCCTGTGGTTGAACGCACTTTTTTGGAATTAATATCAAGTTTTCGCCTAGCGGCTCGGGTTATATTTACAAACAGCCGTTTATATAGGGCCATATAACCTGTCAACGATCTTTATAACTAATAATATACACGGCTGCTGTTAATTTATGGATAAATTTTCATTTTGTCTAAAACATAGGATAAACAAAGGATTTTGTATTACAAATTAAAATATAACAAGTAAAAATATAACAGCTAGTGTTCGCAAGAGAAATATATTTCAATCTAAAATGTTAAACAAACAAAATGTCTACACGCCGCCCGACAACGCTTTGGAAAAATATTAAAAATATTACTAACGATAATGATACTAACGGGAATATAAGATTGCCTAATTCCATAACAATAGATGGTAATATAATAACTGGGGGAAATGATATTTTGAATGCAATCAATGATCATTTTATCAATATTTCTGATTTCCTAAACAAATCCAAATTCAAAACAGAAAATTTCAAATCACTTGAAGAACAACTGAACAAAAAACTTCAAGGGCATACTTTTAGTATTGATGAAATCAGCCCATTCCAAGTAAAACTACTTATTGATAAATTGAATGTAAACAAGTCAACAGGAAATGATGGAATTGGGCCGCGTATTCTTAAAGCCTGTGGTGACTATTTAAGCATAGCTATAGCTTCTATAATAAATAATTCCATTAAAAATGGCATTTTTCCTGATAAACTTAAAGAAGCATATGTACTTCCAATTTACAAAAATGGTCCAAAAGAAGATCCAAATAATTATAGACCTATTTCAATTTTGCCAACCATATCAAAAATTTTGAAAAGCATATTGCATCACAATTACACAGTTATATATACGAAACTAATATCATTCATGAAAGTCAGTCGGGTTTCAGAAAAAACCATTCTTGTCAAACAGCTCTAAAACGACTCATAGAATCCTTCCTTAATGATTTAGATGAGGGTTGTTTGATAGGCACGGTATTTTTAGACCTAAAGAAGGCATTTGATTTGGTAGATCACAACATCTTGTTGCATAAGTTGAAATTGTACAAATTTTCATACACCTCAATTAAACTCTTCAAATCATATCTTGAAAATAGAACACAGTTTATCAAATATGGTAATAGTCATTCAAATAGTAGAACAGTGAAATCAGGGGTCCCTCAAGGGTCTATATTAGGCCCTTTACTCTTCATTTTCTACGTTAATGAGATGACATTTCGTACAACACACTCTAACATAGACATGTATGCTGACGATACTACTATGCATGCATCAAATAAGAAAAATGTCGTGATTCAGAGAACCCTGCAAGTGATGTTGAATAATATAAGCAAAGGATGTAAACTAAACAACATGGCAATAAATCTGAAAAAGACCATTTGTATGGTAATTAGGTTAGAAAATAAATTAAAATCCAAACCTTCTTTAGATATAAATATAGAAGGTACATGCCTAAGTCAAACGAAATCACAGAAATTATTAGATGAAAACTTAAAATGGAATGTTCAAATAAAGCACGTCTGTACTAAATTACAAAAACAAATTGCTCTCTTAAAGCGTATATCGTACTTTTTATCCGCTGAAATGAAAGAAATGTTTTACAATGCTTATATTTTACCTTGTTTTGATTATTGTTGTATTATATGGAGTACTTGTAATAAAACTGAATTTGAAAAAGTGAATAAACTGCAGAAACGCGCAGCAAAAATAATATTGTGTAAACGAGTTAAAACGCCTTCTTTACAGCTTTCCCTTAAATTAAACTGGTTAACTTTTGAAAATAGATGCACGTATCATACAGCATTATTAGTATTTAAATCTATACAAGGGTTGACTCCTTCCTACATTTCAGATATCATAGTGTTCTCGAAAAAACGTATACACTTAGAGAAACATAATACATGTAAGATCTAATACAAAATATGTTAAAAGAACTTTTAGAAATAATGCAATGCAAGTATGGAATAATTTACCTTTATATATTAAAGAGTCTTCGTCTCTATATGCTTTTAAAAGAAATATGAAAAATATTTACTTGATATACAATTTAAATGAATCTGATGTATGCATGTGTCTGTCAATTTGAATGGTTGTTGTTTATGTTTTTGATATGTGTGTACATATTTGTGAATTTCATTATCTTGTTTAATTGAAGGCCATATTGTAAATAAGATATGTATTTCTTAATATGTTACCTTCATGAAATAAAGAGTTTATTATTATTATTATTATTATTATTATTATTATTATTATAATATTTCATGCCTATTTGTTGCCGTAACGTAATAAGTTTTTCTTCATGATGTCATTAAATCATTACGTCACAGTTTACTTTTCAAATATAATTCTGTAAAAAAATCCGAATTTGTTACATTTTTAACATTATGTACATGCAGGTATTTATTTATATTTTCTTGTGCAAAATTACACATTACGAAGTTTATTCCTTTCGATGTTATGAGTTATGATATGATTTTTTTTTTCATCCGCATTCAAATATAGTTCTTTATGTAAACTTAAAGAGCTCTTACATATGTTTGATGTGTGAGAAAAAGAAATAAGTATCATATTTATGTAGGTGTATCTTTTTTTTTTATCAATAAGTGGATATAATTATCATTTTCTGTCTATTTTAAAATCGCAGCATTTTTTCTTTTGTGCCAAAGTGATAGCAACAAGAGCTTTACGACACCCTCTAGGCATCCGTTAAAAATTGGGCATATTAACGATTATTCGTTCATAATAAAAGCTTCGAGAGAGCAGCGAAAACCTTAACAGTCGTTATGCTAGCTTCGAGATACCGACCCCTGGTCATGAAATACACGTGAAAAAATAGGCCTGCAAACAAAACAAAATAGGCAGACAAAGAAAACATGAAATAAAATTGTAATAAAATGTAAATGATTGTCATAATGTTCCTGTCTTACAAAATCGGGATACATTTTTTAAACAAATTAATGTTTATTGAATGCACTAAGCAATTATTCCAGCATCCCTATATTAAATCTTTGAATAAAAAAAATAATGGATAGCATATCAAAGTTAGGACACATTTAACATTTATTAAATGCGTCATTTTTTTTTAAAGTAATAGATATCTAAGTGGTTCTTCTGTCATTAAGATGGACGCTTCAAGTTCATATCTACGAAACTATGTAGCAGTAATCACAGCATACTTATTACGATTTTAAAATGTTAATAAAGTTACTCTCTGACAAAGACCTCTTACAAGTGACAACAGCAAATAAAGAGGCAAACGTCCCGGGGGGGGGGGGCGCAACTGTCCGGGGACAAATGTCCTAGAATCTGCATTATCTGATACAAAATACTATCAACATAATTATTCATTCTTAAACATACCTTCCATTACAGACCTTTTCACTTTATTATTGACAAATTGCACATTTAGCTTTTTTAGGGAAAAGTAAAGTATATAGAACGTTGATGAAAGCTAACCTGTATATGTGTTGTGTTAAAAATATTGCATTGCATGAAATGTTTCGGATCAGCCATTGCTCAAGCCAATATAGGTTTACGGTTTGTAAGTTGGATATCGGCCTCGTACATCGATCTTTCTGTTTAGGAAAGACCTCTCGGTGTCAAATGAAAATCGTGACCAGGTCTTTCCTAAACAGAAAGACCTCGTACTCGGTCGATATCCTATACATACAGTTTGAAAGTGTACTGAATATAATTGGTTAGTGAGAGCAAAGAAAAACCTGCAAACCATGCGATAATTTTCATTTAACGTTCAGTCCTTATACGTAATAAATTTGATTGATGTTAAGAGTTTAATAGTTGTTTTTTTTTATATCTGTTTATTCATTACTTAACACTCCAGAGTTTATAAATATCTAAATATGCAAATTGTGTCTAATTTTGAGGTTAACAAAATGGTGCACACTACTATTTTAAGCGTGTTACAAATACTTTGGATTACCATAGTCAGCAATTTAATGATTAAATGTAGTAACCACCCGTTCCCACGGACCTGTAAACTAACAGCTTGATAAGGTGTACATCTATGCCAGATAATCGCTTGAAATATATTTTGAAGTCCGTTTTCGTATTCTCCAATTGTCTTTTCCTATACAAACACCGTCTCCTCGCCACCATTTCTCTAAGTCACGGTAGCTATGGGATTCTCGTGAAGTATCGTGCAACATGGCACAAACACGGCACCAGAAGAATGTATTGACAAATGATCCCGTGCCTTTCCAACGGAAATATTCATTGTAGAGATCATCATTTTGGTCTAATTTATGTAGGTATTGAGCAAGTTGTTCTGGGGATTCGAAATCGTCGACATGAATAAAAGAATGAGGAGGGGCCGCTCGAGCATAGTCTTCAGGGGCAGCTCCCATTACGATTGGAATGACGTCATGCCTGGAAAGCAATAACAACTTGTGAAAGATATACTTAGAAGCGTAAGGTATATGTTATTCGTATGTTTTTGAAATATATTTAAGGTTACTTAATGAATGACCTTTCAAAAATGTTTTACTTATTAGAAGCAAAAGTAAGTAATCGACATGTTGCTTGTCCAAATAAAATTTTATTACGTACAAACAATAGAGATATAAAAACTCCTGAAGTTTCCACTGTGCAACATTTATAAAGCATCGGAGCAACTTTAATTCTCTAACTAAAAGTAGCTGAATTCTGATGGATAAAAAGAAAATATAACGGAACTCAAATGTAGTACAGGGCAACTTCGTGCATATGTGATATGTTAAGAAAGGCTGTTCATTTCGTGTTGCTTATATAAAAAATTTGTTAGCTTATAGTTTTTCGGTTTATTGAATTCGAAAAAGATATCGAAATAAGAGTAATCACAACCTTTCAATTTAAGGTATGAGCCCCAAATGGGCACTATAAGGAACTATAAAATTGACAACATAGGTCAGTTATATACCTTAAAAGACACAAGAATGCAAAATTTAAACAAAGTTTACCATATGGTTTACGAGTTATTGAGATTTTTCTAAAGTAAAACTCGGCTATTAGAAGGGCTCTTTTTCAGAAATGAGAAACTCTAATTATTCTATTATATAATCATTATGAAATAATGTTTTCCTATAGAAAATATTTGAGAAACAAATAATAGCATTCAGCTGACAAATGACCCAGCAAAATTATTGTTTCTACTCAAAATATTTGAAATACAATGTATGTATATAAATGTTACCATACCCCACCCATTTTAAGTAGTTGTTTGATCATTTTTCTACTTGGAGGGCCTTATTCAAAATATCCCTAAAATTTACTCAAATCAGGAGCTGTTTTCAAAGTTTGCATAATTTTTTTTAAAAGTATATTGGATTCGCTTGTCAAATATAAAATATTTTTACCGTCTAATTTTTATTTTATTAGACTTTGAAAATATCAGGTTCCATATTTGATAATAAATTTGGCACAATTTAGCCAATAATACCAATAATAATTTTATAATTAAAATAAAACACTTTTTTCTTATCAAGAGTGATCTGAGAGACACAAATAATGTTTAAAGAAAAAAAAGAAAGAAAAAAATTGCCTCTTCTTGGGCTTGAACCCGCGCCCCTCAATTTCAATGCAGTTGACAGTAGTTCTAGCCTATTTGAGTACCTTTCAAAGTGGAGGTAATGCATTAGGTGGGTCATACACAGTAATTATATTACAGTAGTAGTCAACTTCATACTGACAAAAATATTTATGTATCACAGTCTAGTATACATGTTTAATGTTCTGCTTATTATAGAAAGCTAGATTACCACTGAGGTGGGGCAATATATGCTCAATGTCGCAGACAAGTTTCTATTCCTTCTAAAGTTATTGACTGTATGGTCTTAAAATCACTTGTAGGGATTCTTTTGCCATGGACATGTCCCTAAAAGTTTCACAAGCCTTGCACATACCATTGTTATACAAAGTTCAAGGCTCTGACACTATTCAGTGTTAACCATTTGCATATTGCATATTTTTAGCCGAGATCCTCAAAAAAGTGACATCCTGTACAAAGCCATGCACATGATTCAATGTGACGGCCATCCAAATTTGGAAATATTACGCCTCGATCAATCGCAACTACTCGGCCCTTTCCGTCAGTCTTCGGATAAGGTTATTATAGATAATAGCCGAGGCAGTTCCGAATGAGCCTCGATACCGCCCAAAGGTCACGGATATTCTGATTCAAACTGCAACACTTGCAGGGTTTTCCATTGTTTACACCGGTGCTAGAAAATTCGTTTTGCGTACATAGGATGGCTTCCATTCGCCGTTCGGTAATGGTTATACATGGAATTCATACGCTAAGATAAGAAAAAAGTAAAAATGAAAATATAAGTTTTCGTATTTTCCCCAAGAAATATTTTAACCTGTGATACGCAAAAAAAGTATCATACACCGGCTGTTGTCACAGACAGGAATAACATGCTCTCGGGTAACTGTTTAGCGGAAACTTTGCCGATCCTCGTTACCACCTTGATAGCTACAAACCGGTAGTCACATTTTTCTGCTATAAGTAACAGACTATACGATTTCTGAATTACGGGTGGGAGACAAATGTTCATTTGATTAATATTGTTAATCGCCTGAGGATCGAATAAGGGACAAATCCAGTGGAGCTAAGCAAAACAACTAACAATTATATTATCGATGGATCCGGGAATTCTAAAACATATCAATTATCACTGGATATACATTAATTGTTCAACGATGTTCAGATAAATGCCTTTCTTAATCGTATGAACAGGCAAATTGTGTCACTTATTATTAAGTGTGGAGCACTTAATAATAAAGAGGTCAGAACAAAGTGCGCATGTGTAAACTGAATGTTTTAGCCGGCGTGACATTGGTAAAATTCTAGACGAGAACTAGGTGAACGTTTTTTTTTTACTATTTGCTGTTTGTGACGGGATCATTTTGTTAATAATCCAATATGGATAAAATGAAGTCAACCCTAAACGTTTTCGTCAGACCGGTCGCTTCTTGTGGGGTTCTTAATTGTTAAAATCTCACTTAATAAACACTAACATATACGTAACTTATTTGTTATAAGCCAGTAAAACAACGGTTTCTAAATATAGAATAAGTTACTTACTGAAGCCCAGTCACAAAGAATTTTTCAGTGATGTAGTCTCGACAGTTAGAGTTCTCAAATGCCAGGTAGAATTTATAGTCTGTATTAAGCATTTCAAAACACTTTTGATCTTTTCTTGGACATTTCAAGGTTCCACATTGTCCATATATATCCACTCGAATATATTTCGATAGTTCACGGGCATATTCTCGTCGTTGATTTCTTGCCCCACAATTTGATACAAACCAAGCTACTTTTTTACTTTTATTCTGAGCGTAGCTTTTATTTTGCGGAAGAAATTTGATGTTATCGTCATATCGAACGAATTTCTCGTATGGAGCGACTATATCAGAGTCATGTCGATAGGTTGCAGTCCAGTTAAACAAGCTAGGGGCCGAGTCTGGTTTTAAAGCAAAAGTATTGTATGGGGACTCAAGCATAAAAATGATCCAAATCTGTTGAGGAGATTTCTGGTAAGAATCAGCTCTCATAGATGACTGAAAAAATATGGCATCTGCAGTTTTAGAATATTTTCGAACTCGCGTAATCTCGCAAGTGTCCACGTTACATTTATCTTCTAGAAACATGGTTCGTCCGGATGGTTTATCGCTAAATCCAGAATCTATAAATATCATCTTCATCGGAATATTTTTTGGTTGTTTTCCGTCTGTTCTACTTTGATTGTTAAGTTTGAATTTCAACTGATTGACAATTCTGTCATTATCATAAGAAAACCTATTCGGCCAGATAAGATTTGAAATTCCTTGGGAAGTCTCGTGCAGATTTCCTCGTGATATAACTTGTAAATTTCCTATGTAATCAGATTTATTTCGTGTGGTATGTAGATCTACTATTTTTGTAGAATTAAATACATCAGGTTTTTTTCGTTTTCGTAAAGATAACTGTCTCTTATCGGTAAAAGAAGGACTTGAGCTGTTCAATAAAACCCAATCAATCGTAACTAAAATTGAGAGAATCAATACGACCCATGAAACTGTTCTTTTTAGATAAAAACGCATAATTAAACTAGCCTAAAGTTAAAGTCAAGAAAGCTAAAAATTAATTCTTATCCTTTTTATTTTTGTTTTCGTCGTCCTTGAAGGTGAATATTCTGACTGCAAGTAATACATGTACTTTCGCAGAATTCAGCAACCGGCGTTGACTTTATAAAGTTCTTCGTATTTTGAGAGCTTTTCCTCGGTAAAGGATGCTAATACGTGACAGGCTTCCTACGACGTCATGCGCAAAGTATTTGTCGACACTAACTTTTTTATTTCGAAAGTTACTACTAAATACTGCATTGATTATAGTTTTAGATCTACATGAAATATAGCATCGTACTAATTTCTGATTTTTTTTCTGGACCAGTCTATCTGCCTATTCGTATTTCTAATTATGCACTTTTCAAATCCTATGAAACTCGTTAGTCTACTCGTTTATATTGAAAAGTGCTTGTAAAGTTTCTTAGATCTTTCTGTAAATTTAAATAAAAGGTCTATGTATCTTAAAATGTCATAATAATTTTAATTTAAGCAAGCTTCCTTTAATGCTCGTATCAATCGACCACAAATTAAGAAGCAATGTTATCATAAATACAGACTAAAACACATTTGAGTATGTATGGTAGATTTACTATCAAGTTATTTGTCTAGTATTTTTTCTTATCACTTTTCCAACCGACTAGAATTAGCACACAATAGTATTTTCCAATACGTTTGTAAGGTCCACCTTTTCATAATTTACACGGTTTCATCTTTTTAAATGAGGAGTTTCTACTTAACAAGTTTACTTATTTCTTCATTTATCCGCCTGTCTATATATTATATATTTAGCTTTATACCAAGGCATTTATATTAACAAAGGTTTCTTTACAATATGTTGCACACATAAACATCTGTCAGTAATAATTTACAAGTAAAATTAAATAGTAAAATCGATTATAGCTATTCATTTGATAATTAATATGCCTATCAACAAGCTATTGTTTATGTTATTTATAATAATATCTTTATTGACCTTTGTGTCAAGCTAATAACGTTAAAGGATTTGTTTAGGCTTATTTTAGCAACTGAGTGGTCCATATTCATACATCCCTAAGACTTTGTACCCGTAAATCTATTAATATTTTTACGCCATATTTAAATACAAGACTAATTTTGATGCAAAGCATCAAAGTCTCCTAACACGTTTTTGTAATAAGAAAGTATGGAAAGCCAGAGTACACCCCGCCGGTGTTATTATTTTCCATATATATTATATATAAATACATACGAAAATATCTTCGTCGGGTTTATATAATGTTAACGAAACTATTTAAAAACAACTTCGCATGTACAGGAAAACAGTGACGATATTATCAACAACGACATGACTATTTCCATCGTCTGAAAATTAGACAACGTTTTATTACATAATAATAATAATAATAATAATAATAATAATAATAATAATAATAATAATAATAATTATAATAATAATAATAATAATAATAATAATGATAATAAAACTCTTTATTTAACGAAGGTAACTTATTAAGACAATACATCAAAGCATTAGATACAACACATATAATGCAAAATCTTATTTTCAACACAACAAGGCCTTCAATAAAAACATTAACATAACAATAGACATATTCAAGCAATTATAAAGATTACAACATTCAGTAAATCTTAATCAACAAAGAAGACAGACATAATATTAAAGTATAGGTAAATTTTCTATAATAATATGATTATAATATATAATTAGATAATAATAAATGTTTGAAATGTGATTTAAACAATTTAAGACTTGAAAAATTTCTTATTTTTAAAGGAATAGTGTTCCATAACTCCATACTAGAATAATAAAATGTACGTTTCAAATAATTTGTTTTAGGTCGTTTATGCATAATGTATTTTTTATGAGTAAGTTTTATTTTGAGATAACGGAATTAGATTAGAAATATATGCTGGCGTTAATTTATTCATCGCTTTATATACCATAATTCCAGAAAAGTATTTACATTTAGATGGAAAAGATAACCTTTTCATATTTTGAAACATATCAAGAGAATTTGTTTTTACGGGTTTATTTAAAATAAACATGCTTTTCGGTGGTTTATGAAAATTTATTACATGCTTTTCGATGGTTTATAGAAATATATCAGTGAAAAATAACTGATAATTTCACTGTTTTAAACACTAAACAAGTATCCTCTATATATCAGTGATATAAAACCGATAATTTCACTGTTTAAAACAGTGAAAATATCAATTTGATAATTTCATTGTTTTGCATTTAAGCCCCTTTACGTTGTGAAATACCAGCGTGCACAGCACTGAAAACCAACCTAAAGACGTGGCGTCGTAAATAACGTCACGTTGTATTATTATTTGGCGCGCTTTTCATTTAGTATTAGGTTAAATGTCTTTTAAAACGTTTCTTTACATAAAGTAAAAAGAAAATTTGTTTAGTATAGTATATGATCGGAATATATTTCACCTTGTGAACACCAAAATTTCATATTTCACTCGTGGCTGCGCCACTCGAGAAATATACCTTTGGTGCTCACTCGGTGAAATATATTCCAATCTTACACTGAACTAAACAAATAACCTCTATATAATAAATGATCGCATAAAATAAACAACTTCTTTATTATTTAACAACTTCGTCCAAAAAAAAAAAAAAAAAAAAGAAACAAACAACGACGATCTTATTATTTAAGTTTGGCGACGCTTTCATTATTAACTTGGTCATTTTCTCACTGATATGAAAAGCCAGAGTACACCCCGCCGGTGTTATTATTTAAAACAACTTTACATGTACAGGAAAACAGTGACGATATACATTTTTATCACATAAACCGCGGCACAGGAGTGTAATAAAGCAATTTAATAATCAAAGCACAGAAGGCGCTGAATTTGTTTGGGTCTCACCAATGCTTTCCAGCGTTTTAATTGTAGTAAATTGGCTATTAGACTGATTGCAACAATGATATTCAATCCAATGTTTATTTGACTTAAACAATTTGAAAAAAAAAATGAGTTGCCTTTACTGGGATTTGAACTCCATGCCTCTCGCTTTCTAAGCGAGCGTGAAAACCCTTCAGCCACGGTGAATTTATATGTGAACGGCCTGAAGAAAACCATATTATTCGATCTAAATTAGGGCTTGTAACGACTTTAACTGTTGTTTAACACAGATGTAAATAATCCTGGAGCTTACTATAAGCATGTATATTTATAAAGAATCAAAGGGCTGCAAGTTCTGTGGTATTTTCTGATCTTTGCAATCTAAATCGTACTGTATATCTGTATGTATTTTCCTGTATAAGTTTATTTTTATGTATTATAATTCATTTTGCTAGGCACCAGAGTTTGATACATACGGAGTTCTACATAACTAGAGTTGCATCAATAAATCATTTGTGTTCATTTTTTACGACAGCCACACTTTATCCTTGCATATCATGACACTTAAAAAAGAATTAAAAAAAATGTTTACTCTACTGGGATTAGAACTCCAGACCTCTCACTCACTAAGCGAGCGCGTTACCCCTGTACCACGGAGAAGTTATACAAATAATGAGTGAATAACATCAAGTCATTTCTAAATTGAGAACTTCCATTGCATTTCGGGTTTGTAATCCTTATTAATTTCGAGGTATTTTGTTTAGGATAAACCTGTTGTTTAAAATTGAAGTAAATAATTTAGCGAAAATCTTCTCGCCCAAACAGTCCGACATGTAGAATCTATATATTCCACTACTCGGTTTGTGTAGTATTCGGTAATCGACATTGCTAAAAATAGTATTTTCATTGATAAAATCATATTCATCCGCGTAATTTGTGATTGTGCATTTATTGACAATTCTATAAGCCAACGCTATTTTTAAACTTTTAATGCGTTGTAAATTGTTGGATACTTGTAACAAAATAAAAATATTTCTTTCTTTTAAATCGCTAGTTTAAAGCTGTTTTGAGAACTACTTGTTGTTAGGTTTGTCATAAACTTCTGTGTCAGAGATTGAATGTTTTTGTATTGTATTTACTTATTTTCAATCAGAAAATACAATAAAACAATATTAGAAATATTCGACCATTCGGGAATTATTTTGCTTGAATATAGATGTGCCTGTCTTTGACCATCTTTACGCAGTGATCTCCCCTGAATTTTTCGGCGTTAGTGTTACATATAAAGGGAAGTAACCGCTTCAAAAAAGTGGACTACTTTCGGCATTTGCAATTAACAACATTAGACTCTGAAATTTCGCTACCATTATTTGTTTGGTCTGACGACCCAAACAAATAAAAACGATATTACACTAGTGTAATAACACTTTGGCGTGACGTCATTTGCGCTATATAGAAACATAGCGTTAAAGCGCGCTAATGTTAGCGTTACACTATAGGCGCGTCGTTGAAAAATTACTAATTTTTACAGTTTATTGTTCTTATTTTATATTATGTGATAAATAGAATATTATATTCGTGTAGATTCAATACTAAATTTATTGAACTCGTTGAATAAAACAATATTATGCTCGCCAGAGGCTCGCATAATATGATTTTATTCAACTCGTTCAATAAATTTAGTATTAAACTACACTCATTCAATATCCTCTATTTATCATACACCCGTGCCGATTTTGCGACTCCGTAAATATGGTATTGCACGGCCGTGCATATATTTTGACGTGGCGTCCTTAGCGTTATAAAAACATAGTGTAAAGACGCGCGAAATGTTAGCGTTATACTATAGGCGCGTCAATGAAAAATGACTCTTATTTCTCTTTAAACGGTCTTTATTTTTGGTATGTGATAAATAGAATATTAAATTCGTGTAAGTTCATTACTGAATTTATTGCACTCGTTGAATAAAATAATATTATGCTCGCCAGAGGCTCGCTTAATATAATTTTATTCAACTCGTGCAATAAATTTAGTATTGAACTTACACTCATTCAATATCCTCTATGTAATCAACAACGACGTAATTATTTTCATCGTCTGAAAATTAGACGACGTTATTATAAATCTTCGAGTAAAATATAGAGGATATTTGTTTAGTTCAGTGTAAGATCGGAATATATTTCACCGAGTGAGCATCAAAAGGTATATTTTCAAATTTTCTTTTTATTATATGCAAAGAAACGTTTTAAAAAGACATTGAACCTAATACTGAATGAAAAGCGCGCCAAATAATAATACAACGTGACGTCATTTACGACGTCACGTCATAAAGTTGGTACCCAGTTCTGTGCACGCTGGTATTTCACTGAAACAACGTAAGGGGCTTAAATTCAAAACAGTGAAATTATCAAAGTGGTAATTTCACTGTTTGAAACAGTGAAATTACCAGTTTTATATCACTGATATATTTCTATAAACCACCGAAAAGCATGTAATAAAAACAACTTCTCTATTATTAATTCTATCACTCCACGTGATTTTGTCACTATAGACAAAGAAGGGAAAAAACTGGTGTTAAACTGTTAATAAACACTGGTTAGGGACTACTTGTATATGCGGCTTTTATGTTTTCACCCTCGATTATATAGTTTACAAAGCCTTTTAAAGCAACAATAAAAAGCATTTTTATTTATATTTTCAGTTCTTATGTTTTCTTTTCATACAATACCGAAATAATATGTCAAATACACTAACGCAACATATTTGATCCATATCAGTTAATAAATATTTTGACAAAACGGCGCTAATCAGTAAGCAGCGTAATGACGTCATCGTAAGTAAACAACTCATTCATAAACAAGCTGACGTTATTTCATAAATCTATTTAACAAAAACAAGTTATAATATGAAGAAAAAAATAAAATATGATTTATATACGAAATCAATGTTAAGATTAACCACCATCCAA